TTTTAAATTTAAGCATTTGCTTAATTTTTACACAGTACATTATTGTTGAAATAATATTAAATAATTTACATGTATGAAAATTAAAAACATAAAGGCTTTGCCTACCTTGAATCTCACTAAGATAGTAACATTATTAATAGTTCATTGCATATCTTCCAGACTTCTTTCCATGCATTTACAATCACACACACACCATATAGACACGTAAAATTTTTGTTTTTATCTTTTAAAAATAAAATCATACTTAACAGAGTGTTCTGCAACTTTCTTTTCTCAATGAATATATCTTAGACAGGTTTTCATGTCAATATATGTGGATTGTCCAATTATTTGAATGACTGCATAGTATCCGATTCTATGTATGTATATACTCTAATTACAGTGTCATCAATTTATGGGCATTTAGACTGAATACAGCTTTTCATTATGAACAAGGCTGCAATGTCGAATTTTGCATATACGTATCTTTGCCCACTGGTGCTGGTAGAACTGCTAAGACATAGTCCCAAAAATTAGAACTGTTAATAGGAACTTTCTAAATTTTTATAAATAATGTGAAATGTCCCTGCAAAATGAATGAGTCAATTATAAGGGACCAACTCTCAAAAGGAATATTTTAACACTAGTAAATTTTCCATTGAGATTAAAAGAGATTAGGAGGAATTCTTTCAAATAATAGAAATATGTATATTATCTAAACTTAATCAAATGACTTCTCATCAAGTTCAACAAGTTAGCCTGAGGAATATGTTTTCCTAAGCAACTGATCATTGTGTTCAGGTCAAACAATCATATAACTTTTTCAATTTGGGGATATTGAAAACAGAGTTGGAAATGTTTATAATTTATAAGACTAGGAATGAGGAAATTACAAAATATGTCATCATTTATCATCTCTCAAAGAGAGAAAATACATTATCACAGTTAATAACTAAGGTTCCAGAGTCAGACAAATTCAATCATTCATTCAACAAATATTTATTGAGCATTTACTATGTGCCAGACTCTGTACTAGGTGTTAGACATATGAATGAACAAGACAAAGAGGACCCCTCTGCTCTCATGCAATTTACATTAATGTCATGGAGATAAAAATGAATTGATTAACAGAACAATTTAAAAAAGTAATGACCAAATAGAGTATTGTGAGAAATTACTGAGGAGGAGGGTCAACGTTCCTTTAGATCTGGTGGCCAGGCAAGGCATCTCAGAGGATGTGACTCATGGGATAAGGCCTAAATGAGAAGAATGAACTAGCCAAAATGAGATCTAGGGCAGAAAAAGAGCAAAATTCCTAATATGGAAATAAGCTTGGCCTTTTCAGGGAATGCAAAGGCCAGTGGGTTAACCTGTGGCAACTGATGTTGTAAGGGAGGATTGGGTGAGGCAATCAGGTAGAACTTTTAGGCAATTGGAAGACATGTACTCCTATTCTAAGCCATTAGACTGTATTAAGCATGAGAGTGGCATGATCTATTTTATACATTAAGAACCCATTCTGGCTAATACGCTGCTCGCCACTTATTAACTAAGTACCCTTGGACAAGCTACATTACCTTCCTTAGCTTCAGTTTCCTCATTTGTAAAGTTGAGATAATAATAGTATGTATTACATGGAGTTGATATGAGGATTAAATGAGGTAATGAATGGAAAGCATTTTGCACACTGCCTAGCACATAATAATTGTTCACTAAATGATTTCAACTAAATCACTTTTATATCATTAAGATCATATTAAACAGAACTGAGCATAATCCACGATCCACAAGTATGCACCACACTAACTAAAAATATCCTTTAAAAATAATCCTGCTTCAAATTCTCTAATTTTGAGAGGCTGAATATTTCCATATTGAAAAAAAACACACTCAGCACCTTCTTCTTCCTGATCCTTTCATATAGTTCTGAGTTACTAATGTGTACGTGCATGCCCCTTACTCTCACACACACGAGATTATACATCTTTGTGTTACCCCCAGAGCCCACAATGCTCAACGCAAAAGGAAGGCAAGCAGGCAGGAGGAAAAATGGACTAACAGATATATGTAGGATAAAAGTCATGAGGACAAGAGAAAAGAAGGGAGTGTTTTGAATTGAAATATTTAAAAGAATAAAATATTTAAATGAGTATATAAAATGTATTACTGATCACTGTTTGCCATGAGTATTATTCTATTCAAGTGTTTACACAGTACCAGACACTATGCTAAAACCCTAACAGAGACCTACCCAACAGAAGACCTACCATACGGGTGTATTGCCTTCCCATCTCACTTCTTCTCTACTGAAAATATTTAGCAACACTCTGAGAAACATAAAGGAAGTACTTCACATATTTACGAAGGTGCTGAAGAATTATGCGTACTAGAACCAAAGTTGTGAAACCTGCTGCACTTAACTTCTGCACTTCTCATGTACTCAGTACTGTTTGTCAGTGTGATGTCAAGAAAGCTGACACATAAAATACCAATTTCTAGACTTTGAAACAAAGGTCTACAATAATTGTGGAAACATTTGTTCTGTGATCTTGATCTAAATACGCAATTTGTTTCTACACACTTGAAAGTGTGTAATAGATGAAAAAATGACCCTATATCCAAATATAGAGGACCATAGAAATTTGAAAAGGTATTGATTTAATTAAACAAAATTAGTATAACAACAACTAGGAGCAGAAAACAATATTTTTTAGTGGAGACTATTCTATGTTATACAAAGTACTTTTCTATGTACTGCCTTACTTTGACTTCATAACATCTCTCTTAAGAAAACCTGATAGTTTATGTCTGCAGTTCATACATATAAAAAGTAATACACTGAGTAGATACCTTGACCCAAGTCTCCAAATCAGTAAGTAACAAAACTGAAACTCTAGTGGGGCCTCTGTAGTGTACTCTCTGCCATCCCAAACTAATTCAACATGCCACAAATAGTGCAATTCATTAAAACTGAATATATTTCTATTTAAAGAGACAAGCAAGCAAAATACATAGAAATAATTTGCAAGTAGCGTTATTAAAATTCTGCCAGTAATATTGTAAACCTTTCCAAATAGAACAATACTCTTTATATCCTCCCTGATCATTAAAATACTACATATTCCCTAGCTCTAACTAACAACAACAAAGCTTTTATCTTTTAATACATAAATGCCAGACTCTGTCTTATATTCTCCTCATTTATTGACTTCAGTTCTTACAAAAATATTATGAGGTAGGTATTGTTATCATCGTTGACATTAGTATATAGATGAGAGGGGGGAAAAAGGAGGCATAAAGAGGTTAAGTAACTTGTTCATGACCACTTGGCTAGAAATTGGTTCAGTGATTCTTGACAGCAACATAACACTGCCTCTCCAAATAGAAGCCTCTTCACCCATTATAACCTCTCCCCTATTAGAGTCAACCAATGATAAGGCAAGAATCTCTCATTTAGACTAACAATTTCAACTTCTTATGTGCATGTCTAAGCAGTATCAGTCTTGTTGACCAGTGACTGCACTTCATCTTCAAAGTTCTGGAGTCAAGTGTCTAACAAAACCTGGTACAGCATATGCAGGTGACAATTACTGAGAGTCTACTATGTATCTGGCATTACTCTTAAGTCCCTTTCTCTATATGTGCATTTTGTAAATGTTAACATTGTTCCTTTTTTCCCCCTAATGATAGGCTGGATCCAAAGCCCTTTTTCTGGGAATTGAGCTGGGCAGTGGGGAAAATTTCTTTTCATAAAGGCAAACACTGTTATGTCCACTGGGTATAGAAAACTGTTGTACATGGGTTATCAGGGACTACTACTGCTCTGGCCCTTAAAGAAATCCAGATACACTTAAGAATGGAAGGGAAGTATCAATACGAAGACTGAGCTTGTACGCTGGACATCCCATCTACAGAGATCTTCCCTGCAAGAAAAACTAATGCTTGAAGCGCGAATAAGTAAAAGTTTATATAAGTCCTCTCCCTGAATCCTTTTAAATATTATGCATTTTGACATATTTAAATAAAAAAATAATTTACAAAAGAAACCTGTATTCAAATATATTCTTAAGAAATCCACATATGCAAAACAAAATACACCAGCCTCCCCTGCTAAAACTACAATTTGGAGAAATTTGATTTCAAAATAATGCTAACCTCTCCATTAATTCAATAAGAACTGATAAGAACTATCTTGCATACTTTGTGTTAAATAGATACAAAAATGAAGAAGAAAATCTCCTGTTGCTATGGAACTCGAGAGTCTAGTAAACAAAACTAATCACATGGAAACTGTCCATTCTTTAAAACATAGCAATGACTACTTCTAACTTGCCACAGTGGGTTTAAATGACATAGAAATGGTCACAAAAATACTGTGACATTGGCTTGGAAAAAGACACACCTTTTACAAAAGATGTATGTCTGTGTGTGTATATAAACAGACACATTCATTCATATTATATATCTTATAAAGAATGTGAGATACATATGTAATTTTTATGTGTGAGTTATAGATACATACGCTGATTAATATAATATAATATAATATAATAGCGAGTTCCTTACAAAGGCAAATATATTCCACACCAGTGGACCTCAGAGTAAGGGCAGAGATCCAGAATGTCTCTGAACCTAGTAAATTATCCAAGTAGATCTTATCTTTCTCCTTCCTAATGATCTTCAAATTCCTAGTTTATTAATATGTTACCTCTAAACAAGAAAGATATAGAACTATTTATAGTAACAGAGAAGGGAAAAGGTGGGAAGTAGTAAATATACAACTAAGGCAGAATTTTGGGTTTCACTCTACATTCCAGAGCCAATATGAATGATATTGATTTTCAGGTATCTGCTCTTTGATATTTCTCATACCTCCTTTCCCCTCTATTAGTGAAGAGAACCCAACTGTATGTGCATTTGCTTGATTCCACTGAGAGGCCTGAATCACCATTTGGAATATCAATCATTCTTTTAAAATTAGTCTCTACTAAAAGCCTGCAGTGAAATGATAATGCACTAACCTGTCTCCAGTTAATGGCAAAATAATGGTTGCTTGAGAAGAAAACACAATGAAAGATAATCTCATTTGAGGGCTGCAAAATAAGAAGAGAGGCAGTTAAAACATTTTTAAAAGAAATATCAATATAATACAGATGTATAGCTAGGGAGTCTCATTTAAAATCAGTCTCACTGAATGGTCCAGGCTTCTTTTAAATGGAACCCTCTAAGTAGATACACCAACTCTAACATTACTGCATAAGTCCTTCTGGATTTAGTCAGGGCTTCTCAGCACTCAAGCACTCCTCTGTGACCCATGGGGCCACTGAGGAAGAGCCTAACTAGAAAGATGAATTCCAGGCCAAGGTAATTTTTTTTTTTTTTTGGTAGAAACTGCTTGCTGTTTTGCCTCATCTCCTTAAAGGAGACCAAACACTGCAGAATGATTATTGCTAGCAGTATTCAGGACTAGAGAGTAGCCCGTTTCGTTTAATTACAACAATGATATGAATTCATACGAAAGTTATCCTGAAGTAGGAATATTTAAAAGAGGGCCATGGACAACGTGAAAGAGACCAACAGACCCTCCCATTTTGATTTGGCATTTTCAACTTTCCAAGTCTCAAACATCCTCCTTCCACTTGTCAACAGCTGCCCCGTTAGCTGCATCTTTTAAACTTTAGGTATTTATGTTACAGAATGGTTCTTATTTCTAAGGCACTTCTGCAACTACTACTAAGATTGAAAACTGAAGATATGATTGGATCAAAAAATTATGGTACATATACACAATGGAATACTACGCAGCAGAAAGAAAAAAAGAACTACTAAACTTCGCGATAGCACGGATGGAACTGGAGAGCATCATGCTAAGCGAAATAAGCCAGGGGGCGAAAGACAAATACCATATGATCTCACCTATAAGCGGAACCTAACCAACAATGCAAAGATGCAAGGAAAATATGACCAGCAACACTGAAAGGAAAAGAAATCAACAGAGACAAGAGGGAAGGGGGGCGCAGGGAAAGGGAAGGGAAGGGGAAAGTCAAGGAACATATAGCAAGGACTCATGGACAAAACCAAAGGGGAAGAGCTGAGGGAGGGAAGGAGGGAGGGGACAAGGGAAAGAGGTGGGGGAGAAGCAGAGACAAATGTATTTAAAAAGTAAATAAATTAAAAAAAATAAAAAATAAAAAATAAACATTGAAGAAAGCTCTGAATACCTCAAGGTCTAGGAATTTTTAAATTCACTTCTGTGCTAAATATATTGTCATTGTTTGAAGTAAATTATCTCATATTATTAAAAAAAAAAAAAACCCTGAAGATATGAAACTAGGATCTATAAACTGGAGGCCAGAATGATCTAGCAAAGACGTACAGCATTTTGAAAGTCATTCTTTTTAGTGGTCACACTTTATTCACTTCCTACAATGTATTGTTAGTAACCAAGCAACTAAACTTGAGCCAGAAAACTATGTATTACATAGTTTCCAACTTGCAACTTGCAAACCAGGCCAAATAAGAGCCCCACTTCTTGAAAATGTTCCATTGAAATGATGCATTGCTTTTGATCAAAATCTGTGGCACTCTCTCTGCACACTCCTGGGTAAAATCAAAAAAATTTATAAACGACTGTCTCTTTTGCCTTTGACATATAAGGATATAGAGCCTGGTTTATTTTTTCCCCAGGCAGTTTTACCTCAGACCCTATCCAGAAATGAGAGTGTTATATACTTGGCTTCTTAAACAGAAGACTGATGATTGAACATGGACAAGCATACATTTTTATAGGGATAAGTTTACTGCTGCCAATAAATGAAAGCAAGGATTGCCTAGGCCCCTACAGATTGTTGAAGTTACTTGCAACATGACTTTCAAAATGTTTTGATCATCCAAGCCTGTTTTACAGACAACATTTGGGCTAACAAGACTGAAAGAAGCAATATTTAATGATACAGCTCTTTTTTGTGTCCCTTCCATTATCTCGATAAACTTGCATTTGCTCATTCATTTTTCTTTAAAAAAAGAAAAATGAAGGGGAAAAAAGCCTCAAAATCCTGGTGTCTTAGGGCTAATTTTAAATAGGGATGCCACTAATTCCTAGTTACCTCTAAATAAGAGAGTAGGCTGGATTTCATAGTAGTTATTCTTTTTATAGGAGGGAAAAAAAACTGTCTTCCCTAGGAAGGCTTATTGCATATATAGAACAGTTAAATTTTCAACCGGCCACACACCCACACATTGTGTAAACACAAGTCATTTCTTTAAACATACACACAAGTGCCTTTTCTGGTAGTAGTTATTAACACATGTTCATTTGAAGTTTACCAACACTTAATTTTTTTTAATGAGGACTGTTACAATACTAAGAATTGTATGGAAAGGAAAATATATTATGGATACTGTTAGCATAAAAAAATTTAATGTGACAAATTATGAGAAAGCATAACTGAAATTTAAAACAGATGAAAATTCAAAAAGGAAATACATTTGGAATAGTATTTGAAGATGCTTCCCCAGAGCCTGAGCCAAATTTCTGGGATCCAGATGAAATAAGCCCTCAACAACTGAAGCTCTGTCCTAACAACAGTATGTGTGTAATATTGATCATGAGGCACTTCAAAATCAACATTTCAGCGAAGGCTTTTCCTGCAAAGGGTCTCAAAAAAGGGATACCCTTCATTTTGGTCTACTTCCCTCCACCTCAAACTCCAGTGGCTAGAAAGTAAAGTGGGAGAAAATACCTCACAAATCGCTCCGTGAGTTGCTGGACAAAACTGTAAATTTCAATCCAGTTATTTGCCACACTCCCAGACCTGAGGAAATGAAATTGAACTGATCAGAAAAAGAAATGTTTACATGGAGGTACTCCGGCCTCTTCTAGATGCAAAGTAATAATATCAGTAACTAAAACTTAGGTGCTACAAGAATCACGGAAGTCAACCCATCTTGGGGGACCACCTGTCTGCTAATCGTTTGGAGAAGGATCCCAGCTCTGTAAGGTAAACACAGCCTTCCTTTGCAGGAAATTCAAACCACACAGGATATGTTAACCCAAGGCATTTCCTAGGATAAAACCAGGCAAACTTCAGCCAGCATGAGGACAGAGGCTGAGAAACAGTCTTGTCCGGGTTCCAGGGACCCAGCGCCTGCACTCCCATTTCTCAAGAGGCCTTTGACTGGCAAGCGGTGATTGCCCCACCTCCCCTGAGAGTCCAGCACGTCGGGGCTCCTGTCAGCAACCCCAGCCAGCAGATTGGAAAGCGCTTGCCCTGTGCACGGAGACAGCAACAGGGCACCCATCAACGGATATTTAACACCCCTCCCCAGGGCGCGCACACATCTCAGCTTCCCCAGCTACGGTTTATCCAATGCCACCCGCACCAGAAGACACGAGACCTCCCTCTGGCACTCACTTGTCCAGGACGAAGTAGAGATCAAAGGCTCCTCTGCAGGAGGGCTGCTCCTGGGCGCTCAGCAGCCCCCCAGGACCACTAAGCGCCAGCAGCCACAGCCCGGGGACCAGCCAGCTCCCGGGGCTGCGGGCCAGGGACAGCCGCATCACCATCCTGCGGCCACGGGCCTGCGACTCCGTCCTGCTCGCAGCCCCCTCGACTTGGTGGGACGCTCCGGTGGTAGGAGTTGCCAGGGACCCTGGGGTGGGGGGCAGCAGGCAGATAGGGCGCCGGGGCCTGGGTCAGCGGAACCCACTAGCTGACAGAGGGAGGAAGAAAGGGTGGGAAGGAGGTCCTCGGAGGACAAAGGGAGACTCGGCAACCGCCGCCGCAGCTGCCGCCGGAACTCCTGACGAATCCCAGTGGAAGAGCGATCCAGTCCTTCCCCACCGGATTCCGGAGAGTTCCTGCAGACACGGAGGGCCCGAGGCGACAGCTCGCAAAAGAAGTTCCTTCCCGGCCTCCAGCCGAGCTCCTAATGCCCGCCTCGCACCGGGACCGAGAGCCCCATTCCTCCGGGTGAAGTCCGGCTGCTGCAGGTCGCTGCGGGACAGGCACCCCCACACGCGGCGACAGCCGCCCCAACTTGGAGTGGCGGTCCCTGTGCTCTGGTTCCCTTCCTTCGGCGGCCCAAACCCCCCAGGCGCTCCAAACTTTTCTCCCGGTGCTGGGCTCTAAGCACAGCGCCGCGGGGCGGTCCCCGTTAGGGGAGGAGGCTCAGCGGGCTCCGGGCTAGTGGCTGGGCTCAGCTACTCGAACCGACGCCGAGCGCCCTAACAAGCCAAATTTCGTCTAAGTGTGGGCGGGGCCTGATCTGAAGCAAGGGAGCCACACAGGCACACTTGTGGGTTCGTGCCGAGTTGAAAATAACTAATGCTTGCCAAATTTTGGGAAGAGGAGGAGTTTGGAAAAACAAATGTCTTGTAGAAACTAAACATACCCCTGTATCCTACAGGCCTGGTCTGTTTCAGCGCTTTGTGGCTGAGAGATCAAAGACCAAAGGCTAGCAATTCACCGGGAAGTGGTAGCCTGCTTACTCCCCCCACCCCCACTGCCACAAACAAAACACGCTTTTTACTTGCCCAACCTGCTACCTCGGCAGGCAACTTCTTCTTTTTCTATTATAAACCTGCGTTGTAGTTTCATCTCACCAAGCCAAGGAAAGGTGGGGCAGAGGTAAGAGGTGGGAGGCAGAAATCCTTAGAAGTGAAAAATTGTACTTCAAAATTTTTATTTCCATTGTCATTTACCCCAAGGTCCGGATAGTAAGAATTTCATCTTGGGGCAAGCTCAGCTGCTTTTGCCAAACGTGCAGGAGCTGAAGTTTGCATGCATTCAAATTCTGTGTGTACTAAATGTACTAAATGTACGCTCCCTCGCCGCCCTGTCCTCTCTACCACTTCCACCTAACGTTTCTTCTGCCTTCTTGTTGAAACTGGCTTTTAGAACTTGTAATTATAGGCAGCAATATGAAGTGTAACCTCCTTTTTTTTATTGATTATGTTATTAGAGTTATCCCAATTTTCCCCATATGCCCCCCTCCACCCCGTACCCCCACTTCCCTCCAGAGATACCCCTCCCTTCATGTACATGGTTTGTGCATGTAAGTTCTTTGGCTTCTCTATTTCCTATGCTACTGTTAACATCCTCCTATCTATTTTGTTCCTACCAAATATGACTCAATCCCTGCACCATTTCACATTCTCCCCCAAACCCTCCCAGCTGATAACCCTCCCAATGATCTTCATATCTATGATTCTGTTTCTGTTCTGGTGGTTTGCTTAGTTTTGGGGGGTGGGGTTTGGGGTGGGGAGGTTGGGTTTTAGATTCGGTTATTAATGCTTGTCAATTTGTTGCCATTTTAATGTTCATAGTTTTGATCCTCTTCTTTTTCTTAAATAAGTCTCATTAACACTTCCTGTAATAATGGCTTGGTGGTTATAAACTCCTTTAGCTTTACTTGTCAAGGAAGCACTTTATCTGCCCTTCCATTCTAAATGATAGTTTTGCTGGATAGAGTAATCTAGGTTGTAGGTCCTTGTTTTTCATCACTTTGAATACTTCCTGCCAGTCCCTTCTTGCCTGCAAAGTTTCTTTTGAGAATCAGCTGACAGTCTTATGGGAACAGCTTTATAGGTAAATCTCTCTTTCTCTTGTTACTTTTAAGAGTCCTTATCTTTAACCTTTGGCATTTTAATTATGTGTGTCTTGGTGTGGCCCTCTTTGGGTCCAACTTGTTTGGAACTCTGTGCTTCCTGGGTTATTTCCTTTACCAAATTAGGAAAATTTTCTTTCATTATTTTTTCAAGTAAATTTTCAATTTCTTGCTCTTCCTCTTTTCCTTCTGGCATCCCTATGATTTGGATGTTGGAACATTTGAGATGTCCCAGAGGTTTCTAAGCCTGTCCTCATTTTTTTTTTTTAATTCTTGTTTCTCCTTTTTGTTCTGTTTGAATGTTTATCACTTCCTTATGTTCCAAATTGTTGGTTTGAGTCCCAGCTTCTTTCCCTTCTCTGCTGGTTTCCTGTGGATTATTCCTTATTTCACTGAGTGTAACCTTCATAATCTTCCTTTATTTTTTTTTGCCATACTCAAGGAGTTCTCTGAGCATCCTGATAACCAGTGTTTTGATCTCTGCAGCTGATAGACTGGCTATCTGTTTCACTTAGTTCTTTTTAGGGGTTTTATTCTGTTCTTTTATTTGGGCCATATTTTTTTTTTTTGGTCTCTTCAATTTAGCCCCCTCCCTATATTTGTTTCAGTGTATTAGGTAGTGCTGTTTTGACTCGCTGTCTTAGTGACATAGCCTATGTAGAAAAGGCACCTGTAAACTGTGTGGGGTGGAGCCTTTGGTAATTGCCAGGGCGGGACACCTGCTTCACCACTTTGTGGCTATGGAGGGAGGGCTTGAAGAGGGGAAAATGCTGCCACCTGGCTTCTGATGGTTTGCCTGGCACTAGCCCATATCCAGTCACCTCACCCCCTTCCCCTGTGCCATTCTAGCTACTGCCCTGGTGGTATATCCTGGAGCGGGTCAGTTTGCATATGTTCTAAGACCATGCTGGCCCTTGTAAGTGGCGAAAATCTGGCAATTTCTCCTGCTGCCCCAACCCCCACTGGTTTTTATAGCCAGAAGTCACCAGAATCCATCTTCCCAACGCTGGAACCCTGGGACGTGCGGTCTGGCCTGGGGCTGGAATCAGTCGCCCCTAAGGTATCCCTGATATGTGCCACCACTGTGCCATACCGCCTCTTTACTATTCTCTGCACCTCCATCCCTCCTACCCATCTGGATGAATGTATCTTCTTTAAATCCTTGGTTGTCGAACTTCCATACAGCTCGATTTTCTGATGGTTCTGGGTTTTGAGATCTGGTTGTAATTCTTTCTATGGTTGCATGAGGAGGCAAAGTGTGTGTACCTACGCCTCCATCTTGACTGGAAGTCTCCTCTTCCTTTGTCTTTTAACTAAATGCTTTATGATAAAAAGTTCATATAGTCCTTAATCACATATTGCCTTTTAGTATCTCTTCTGTTTGCTGTCATGTGTATATAACTTTTCCTTTATGTGTGCTTTGATAGACAACCAGATTTGTCTGTAAGCACTTTAACAAGGATTTACTGAGTATCAACTATCTATCTGACACTGTTCTAGGACTGATAGTTAATGCACAGAACAAGGTAACTAGTGCCTGCTTTCATGAAGCTGGCAGTCTGGTCAAGGAGGAAAAACAAAAATAAATAAATGAACGTACATATGAAAAGGTGGTTCGCCATTTAAAATATGCTAATATAATAAAGAATGACTAACTAGATAGCTAACAAAAAGAAGGCAGTATTGCAGGAGCTGAAAGAGGAAACATTCCTAGCTCCTGCAACACCACATAGGCATTAACTTAGCACATTCAAGAAACAGAAAAAGCAGTGTGGCTGGAGCTTTGTGGATGAGATGAAGTAAGAGAGGTAGGCAGGGGCCAAATTATGTGATGCCTTGTAAATTGGGATAAATATTTCAGATATTTTATATTAAGTGTGATAGGAGCCCATTAGAGGAGTTTAACCCTGAGGATGGGGTAGGGGATAAAGTAATATGATCTCAGTTTTTCAAAGATCATTCTGTCTGACATGACACAATGGACTTGGAGGCAGCAAGAATGAAAACAGGAAGACCAGGCAGGAAACTATTATAGCATGAGGGCCCAGTAAAATGGCACCATGGAGTATCATCCTATAGCAGCTAAACTGAGAAAAATGAATGGATAGGAGCTTCAATAAATACAGATGGACCCTCAGTTTGGAAGTATCTGCCACTTGGAGATGGAAATTCTAATACCTCCCACTAGACCCACCAATTCTTAAGTGATGAGGTAGGGAAGGTACTAATGGGGCAAGAGGGGGATTGAATGGAGGATAACTTACACTTTTGTTACAAAGAAACACAAACCCTCCATTGTTTTCAAGTAATTGAGCTCTAGAAGAAAGTACCAGGAGAAGGAAGCTTTATTAAAAGTATCCCTGTTCTGTTCTCCTTAGCTTCACCTTTGCTTGAAGTTCTGAAATTCTGATTTCTCTGCAGACATTAGGCCTCCAGGGATGTGCTGCCACTTGTCATTTCACCTTGGAGCCCAACTGGGGATTCATTAATCCCCTTGACTTTCCCTTGCAAAGTTGAAACCAGCTGACATTTTCAGGAAGCTTGTATCGACAGCTTGTTAAAGTTTCTTTTCAAGGTTTTTATTATTTATTGTTGGTTAAAACTAGTCTCCATTTTCAACTTTAGTTTGAGTCAAGGCAATCAACGATTTCACATACCTTTAGCAGTTAATGCCTTATCAGTATGACTAAATAAAATCTGGGGAACAAAGCTGCCAACAAGTAATGATAACTGGTTTCAAGTTAGAAGGGGACAGAAGATGAAGAAATCTGAGGCATAATGCTAACCATGTACTCTATCCTCAGGATGAAGTATTTTGAAATCACATTTATTGGCTTCCTTTTCCCCTGGCTTCTTTACTTACTGTTCAGCTTCTGGGACTCCACAGACCAATCTAAGAAACTATCCTATCTTAGACCCAAAGGAAAGCAGAATGCCTTGAACTTAAAATTTGTTCTTCCTCAAAATTCGCAGGCCCTCCTCAAGTTCTCCCACTGAGTTTCTCTTTCCTAACTACAAAGCCAGCAGAGGTGATTGACATACTAAAGCATGTTACCATTCCTTTGTTTGTTTGGGTAATTAATTCAGCCCATTTCTGGAACTCTTCAATTCATTCACTTGCACATAGATCCTCAGCAAAGCAGGGAAATGGCCTCTCATAGCTGAGACCAATAATTAATAATTATATAATTATCAGAATCACTTTCATCTAATCAGTGGGAAAGGCTTTAGCTGCTGGGCAAACAACTGTCCTGATCTGTCCCAGATGAGGGATTTCCAGAGACTTTCAGGGCTAAAACGGGGACAGTCCCTGGGATAGTCCCTGGCAAAGGTTCTATGGCTGCACCCCCTAGATTCCTTCTTCAGGACGGAAGCACTCATTCCCCATAGCAGGGAGTCTCCCTGCTGACAGCTCACTGTATTGCCAAGCAATAATGGGGGCCGACTTAAAAATGTCACCAAGCTATGGAGGAGGAGCAGTAACAACAGCCACACTTTCTCTCCTCCTCCATCAGGTGAGAGGACTGGGGCTCTGTGACAGCTGGACACTAGCCAGGTTGAAGCTTCAAGGTTACTTTTGTGCCATAGCAGACATGCTGGAACTCTGCTTAACTTTCAGTTTTAGGTCATGAAGGGGA